AAATAAACTGGCCCGGCCCGCCAGGGTGCTTACCCTGGCGAGCCGCGTGCCGAACGTTGCCGACCCCTGGTCTATATGATTCTAAGTGAAGAATCTGTTGAGCTTCTCAAGTCCTCATTGGCCCAGTATTTAAGACACAGCAGGACATAATGTAGTATAACACTTAAAAGAAACTTAGTCAACTATTAAGGATCCAGCTAAAACCAAAGCATTGTAATGTTCTTTTACACATACAAACCTGTAATAACAACATTAACTTTTATTAGCTAAAACTGCCAATTGTGAACCAACATAGATCACAGCTGACCACTGAAATGAACAGCTTTACTAACAAAGATAGTAAATACCACCACCACCACCACCACCACTACCACCACCACTTTAATTGCGTATTCATACTATTAGCATCAAGTTCATTTGTACTACACAAATGAAAACTGTTCAGAAAGCACGTCGTCTAGGTTTAAGACAACAAGATAAAGGCTAAAAAAACTGGATAAGTTTAGTCTTGAGAAAAGAAGACTGAGGGGGGACCTAACAATCTTTAAATATGTTAAAGACTTTTATAAAGAGGACTGTGATCAATTGTTCTCCATGTCTACTGAAGGCAGGACAAGTAGTAATGGGCTTAATCTGTAGCAAGAGAGATTTAGGTTAGATATGAGCAAAAACTTCCTAAATATAAAGCATAGTTAAGTACTGGAACAGGCTTCCAAAGGAGGTTGTGGAATCCCCCTCGTTGCAGGTTTTTAAAACAGAATTTTTAGATGGTCTAGGCATACTTGGTCCTGCCTCAGTGCAGGGGGCTGGCCTAGATGACCTCTCAGTCCCTTTCATCCCTACATTTCTATGATTCTATAATATCCCACTTGTTCAAATATTATGGTTCAATTCCATACTATAGACAAGGCAACAGATGCTATGCCTGCCCTGAGGTGACAGGGCCTGAGACATAGGATTGGCTGTGGCCACAGGTAATCCTGAGTTATCCTAGACAGCAAAGGTATTTGAAGGGGAACAAAAGATTTCCCAGATGCAGGTTGAAAGAAGCAAACAGGAGCCTACGAGAGCCTTAAAGGAGGAAGTGGTGGTAAAGACCCTGGTGTCCAGGGGAGGGGGCTTGTAGTTATGCGAGTGTGATTTCCCTGGCTGTTGCTCACCCTAAGCTCTGATAATCAATATCTCACAACCATCACCAAGGATAAACAGAAGCTCTGCAGGCCAAACCCTGGTTCCAGACACATTTATGCAACCTCTGTCACTTCCAGTATCAATGACACCTGTACAAGTTGTCCTTCCCAGGAAGCTATGCTCATTGTGCTAATATTTGGACTTACTGACCCATTTCCACTGGATAAAGTCAACAGAAGTACTTAATTTTATGCACTTTTTAAAAAAAAGCAACCAGAGAAACTTTCAAGAGTTCAATTCATTTACCTTTCTTCTTGGAACCAAGGACATCATCTTCTAGATCTTCATCAAAGATCTCCCTTCCATCTTCTACATAACCTATCCCATCTGTACAAGAAGAAGGTTATAATAAACTTTAAGTGACCCTTTGCAGATTCAGAAAGATGAAATTTAAACTTAATCTCCATCGTTAAGGGGCTTCCTCTGTTTAACAAACTCTTGATTTTTCATTACTTTATAAAGCTATATATTTTGAGTACGAAAATAAACTAAAAAACAAACCAAGTTATAATGGGGTTTGGCTCAAAGTAACTACTTTAGTACATGATCAGCTAAAAATATATCTGTAGTTTGCAATAGGGAACCATTTTTAAAATGGAACAAAGTCACTGTATCTGCAGTCAATGTAAAATATTTGAATCACTGACCTTGAATGCGTTATTATAAATTCAACAATGCTTAGGCATAAAGACCCAGATTTTTAAAGCTATTTATGTGTTGCAGCACTCAGCGACACAATGCCTAACTGATTTAGGACTCTGATTTTTGCTTTTAAAAGAGATTTAGGCACTTAGTCTCCTAAGGACTCCTAAATCAGTTAGGCATTGTGATGTTGAGTGCCGCAACACCTAAATTGCTTTAAAAATCTAGATCAAACGTCTCGGTGTAGCAGCTCATTTTTGTCTGTATTATAACTGATAATCTATAGAGGGCACTGAGGCATTTACATTTTGCGGAAAGGTCTTCATGAAACCTGATGGAGTTAAGATAATTTCAGGGTAATTTTTATTATTTGTTTTTTAAAATGCATACAAAAGATATTGGAACTTGTAAGCCATTCAACCTGTGACTTAGAAATATATGCAAGAATACCCACACAAATTTTATGATTCTACTCAGCATATAAAGAGAGCCCCCTAAATGAATCTTACACACCATCATCTACAATCCAATCGTCATCCTGGCGTTCCCTGACCATCTTGGAGTATTGTGCTTCATCAACTTCTTCATAAACACTTGTGAACTCCTCAACCTGCAAGCAAGGCATATTTAGAATTAGCGAATTCTCAAGCTATCATATTTTTAATAAAACAGCTTTACCAAGGACTCAGACTAGATTGGATTTTTCTTCTCTAATCACACCAGGGTGAACTGTTGAGAAATAGCAAGTGCAAGCCTTCCTTCAGTTTGAGGTGTTTTGTTTTTGCTTTTTAGTATTGTGACACTATGTACCTCAAAACAGCACCATGGAGCCCCCATATTCACCCCATCGTATAATTATGATCTATTTCATACAAGGAATACCATGTAAGATATCATATATGAAAGGTCATGATCTGCTGAAACAGATTGTTCTGTCAAAATATATATATTGTTAGTGTGTATGAAGTTATGAGATTTTGCTGTATGGTCGTTACTGAAATATGTTGCAAGTTTCAGGGTCATCCACTGCCAGTTCTCCCTGACAACTAAGGGGGTGATCCACTCCCAGGTGGGTGTTAAATGACCATTAATCAGCAGGGGAGTTGTAAACAAGGAATTTACAATGCTGTAAGAAAGCTGTGCAAGCATCACACAATGGGAGATTGCTCAATTCTGTGACTAAGGCTAGGTCTACACTAAGGGGGGGGGGGGGGTCGATTTAAGATACACAAATTCAGCTACGCTGTTCGGCGTATCCTATTAGGCTTACCCCGCTGTGAGGACGGCGGCAAATCGACTGCCGCGGCTCCCCCGTAGACGGCGCTTACTTCTCCTGACGAGGTGGGAGTAAGCGCGTCGATTCGGGGATCGATTTATCCGTCTAGATGAGACGCGATAAATCGATCCCCGAGAGATCGATTTCTACCTGCCGATCCGGGCGGGTAGTGTAGACTAGCCCTCAGCAAAGCCCACCAGGATATGTCTGGGCTAGTGTTTTCCAGGCACATGGACTTAGGATATAAAATAGGGGACAGTGGCATCATGCTTTTACCTTTCACCTCCCCCACCTACACTGGAAGCAACAAGAACACTGAGAAGACAGACTTGAACTGAGGAGACTCATCCTAGGCTTAAAGGGGAAGCCTGTGTATTGAGAACTAACCTACCTGCAACATCCAGCGGGGTGAGAAAAACTGATTGGTCTAAATACTGCCTAGTCTAATAAGGTTCAAGATTTAGGGTCTCTCTACATTGGCACTTTTGTCAGCCGGGGTGTGAAAAAACCCACACCTGACCGACATAATTTCACGGACAAAAGCACTGGTGTGGACAACACTATGTTGGTGGGAGATACTCTCCCACTGAGATAGCGACTACTGCCTGTTGGGGGTGGTTTAAATTATGCCAGTGGGAAAATTCTCTCCCACTTTTATTTTCTTTAGTAACTATCTTTTATTTTCTTTGGTAACTATCTCTGACCTCTTGTACCTGCCACTTATAATTATAATCTATCTTTCTGTAGTCAAAAAATCTATTTTATATATTTTACCTAAAACCATGTGTTTTGGTTGAAGTGCATGGGAAATCTCATCTCAATTTACAAAAGCTAGTGTGTGTCCTCGCCACATCAAGGGAGGGGCTGACTGGGTAATGAACTTACACTGGTCAGGCTTCTGACCAGGGCAAGACAGTACAGTTCTGGGATGCAAGGCTGGGGGCTTGGGAGATTTGCTGGTGCCTTTCTCTGAGTGATTCGTGAGTGGCTCTGGGAGCAGTCATGCAATCTAGCTGGAAGTGGGGCTCCACATGCTGTTGTGCTGAGTGATACCAGCGCCTGGAGGGGTGCTGCTGATTGATACTAGCAAAGCATTATGAGAGATAGCCCAGGTTGGGAAGTTAAGGGGCCACAGTGATACCCCAGTTCCAGGTTGTACCCTGGGGATCCCGTCACAAGTAGAGCCCTGCGCAGATACACAAATGTGTATCTGCATCTGATCCACTATCCGCAAAAGTTATCTGCGGATATCCGCAGATTTTTAGGGCTCTATACTGGGGGCTGGGCTGAGGCTCCGAGGCATCCCCCCAGCCGGAGCCTGGTCAGAGAGAGTCACGTGGGCAACCCGCACAGAGTCACAGACCCTCCACCTGCCCTTGGCCGGGCAGGGAGCCTGGGGGCCAGGAATCCACACCACAGGCAGGTGGAGGGTCCGCCGCAGCTCTCCACAGCTGCCTGCCCGGTTCTTACCATGGCCAGGCTGTGGCTCTAAGCCACCTCCCTCCCCGGCCAGAGCCAGGTCAGGGAGAGCCACAAGGGCAGCTGTGGGGAACCAAGCGGACCCTCCACATTCCCTGGGAGGGTGGCCTGAGCAGCCCCCACCAAGTATCCCTCCGCCCCCAGGGAAGGTGGAGGGACCGAGGCTCCCCACAGCTGCCAGCGCAGCTCTCCCTGACCCAGCTCCGGCCGGGGAGAAGGGGGGGATGCGTGGTTTGGAGCCACAGCCCAGCCACGATAAGAGCTGGGCAGGCAGCTGTGAGGAGCCATGGCGGACCCTCCACCTGCCCTGTGGGTGGGGCCCAAGCAGCTCCCCACCCAGTGTCCCTGCCTCCCAGGTCCTCCACCCATGGCAGGTGGAGGATCTGTGCCACGGTTCCTCAGAGCTGCCCGCCTGGCTCTTACTGTCAGAGCCCTGCGCGGCTACAAAATTTGTATCCACATCCGTGCTATCTGCAGAAATGGTCCACACATATAAAGCAGATATCCGCAGATTTGCAGGGCTCTAGTCACAAGTACTGACTGATCCAATGGGGAAAATGTTGTTAAAATTAAAAAGCTATCGTGTGATGCTGAAACGCCAGTTCACTATGGCAGTAAATGCATTTGTCAGCTGACTTTTTTACTGTTAGTCTCGTATAAGCAGGGTATCTGTTTTTCTTAAAGAAATGGATTCCTGGTAAAGAAGAGCTAGATTGATTGGGTTTCTTTTCTCAAACACAAAGATGAGGTATGAGAGTGTGGGACCTGTTGGTGCCAGCTGGCAGATGGCACAAAGGTGCATAAGAGTTAGAGAGATCCCGAGTCTGGTCTCTAGACCAGAGGTGGGCAAACTACGGCCTGCGGGACCCTCCTGCCTGGCCCTTGAGCTCCCGGCTGGGGAGGCTAGACCCCGGCCCTTCCCCTGCTGTTCCCCCTCCCCCGCAGCCTCAGCTCACTGTGCCACCAGTGCAATGCTCTGGGCGGAGGGGCTGTGCACTCTTGCTGGGCAGCGCAGTTGCAGAGTCGCGGCCTGACCCGATGCTCTGTGCTGCACGATGGCGTGGCTGGCTCCAGCTGGGCGGCACGGCTGCCTGTCCCAGTTCTCTGGGAGGCGCGGCTGTAGCGCCGCCAGCCCCGGTGCTCCAGGCAGCGCGGTAAAGGGGCAGGGAGCGGGGGGAGAGTTGGCTAGAGGGCAAGGGAGTTCGGGGGGGGGGGGGGGGGGCGGGGGGGGGGGGGGGGGGCAGGGAACGGGGGGGGGGGATGGGGGAGGGGGGGGCCAGCGGGGGGGGGGGGGGGGGGGTTGGGGGGGGGGCGGGGCGGGGCCGGGCCACACCTGGCTGTTTGGGGAGGCTCAGCCTCCCTTAACCGGCCCTCCATACAATTTTGGAAACCTGATGTGGCCCTCTGGCCAAAAAGTTTGCCCGCCTCTGCTCTAGACAATAGTTTGCCAAAGGATGTCACATAACGTTTCCACTGACGATTTGTGTCACAATGATTATCATAATCATCGCAAAACTTACGTACGGATAATATGTAAGGAGTTAGATGAATGTATAGTGAAAATTATGCTCTTAAGGTCTGGGAGTTGGGGCTGGTCACCAGAAGATGACAAACAATTTCTTTCAGGGAGGAAACTATATGTCTGTTTATACGTAAAGTGAGTATTGTACCCTTCACAGTGAATGCCTATTTACAGTAGAAGCAAAATGCTAATCAAATCAAGAGATTGTGAAGTCTCCAAGAGAGATTTTCTACAAGAAAAAGCAAGCAGCAGGGGGTACCCTGTTGACAAGTGAAGACAATGGATCTTTGGAATTATATGTGGGAGTGCAGAAGTAGTTCCAGGTATCCTACACAAAGGGGACCAGCTGGTTTGTCTTATGACCAGAGGATCACAGCCAGTCTGGTTGTTTAACGCTGGGAGAGAGACTTTGGACGAGTTAACCTTTAGGAGACAGGAGAATGTCTTGTTAAGTTTAGGCTCTAGGGAAAGAGTATTATGATTTTATTTTACATGTAACCCTTTGTTTCGATTAATTCTGCTTGCTTCTTTTCTAATCTCTATTCCAGGGGTTCTCAAACTGGGGGTCGGGACCCCTCAGTGGGTCATGAGGTTATTTTGGGGGGGGAGAGGGGGGGGAGTCGCATGCTGTCAAGCTCCACCCCAACTTGCTTTGCCTCCAGCATTTATAATGGTGTTATATAAAAAAGCATTTTTAATTTATATGGGGGGGGGGTCACACTCAGAGGCTTGCTATGTGAAAGGGGTCACCAGTATAAAAGTTTGAGAACCACTGCTCTATTCTCTGTTAAATAAAAACTGCGATATGGTTATAGTGAAAACAAGCATAAGTGCTGTAAATGGAGTGGAGAGAGGATTCTGAGGTGTACTGTTTCTTTGGGAATAGAGGATCTGTGAATTCTGTGAGCATGCAGTGGAACTGGGGCTGGATTCTCCAAGGGGGTGTTCGGGAACCTCAGAGTGCACCTACTGCTTGTCTCCAAGGGACAGCAGAGCCTGCGTGGGCTAAGAGGAGAGTGCATATGTCTCCTGAGGCGGGTGGAGTCTGGGACCTGACCCTGGGCAGGCACAGACAAGGCTTCCTCATGTTAAGGGCAGGTGGTAGTGAAATGCCTCACAATCTTGGGTACTCCAGGGAAGCAGCACAGTACCTCACCAAGGGACCTCTTGGTGCCAACTGGCAGAGGGAACAGGAGTGCCTAAGGGTTACTGGGATCCCCAGGGTCTAGTATCTTCATACTAGTTTGCCAAAGGGTGTCATGTAAGCTCTCCACTGAAAGCCCGTGTCACACCGTTCATCATCATTGTGAAATGTATGTACAGAAAATATGTAAGGAGGTAGGTGTAAATGGGAGGGATAGCTCAGTGGTTTGAGCATTGGCCTGCTAAACCCAGGGTTGTGAGTTCAATCCTTGAGGGGGCCACTTAGGGATCTGGGGCAAAATCAGTACTTGGTCCTGCTAGTGAAGGCAGGGGGCTGGACTCGATGACCTTTCAAGGTCACTTCCAGTTCTAGGAGATGGGATATCTCCATTAATTTTATAATTTATAAATATAGTGAAAATTATTGTTATGGGCTATGAATTGGGTGGGGTCACCAGAAGGAAATTAAAAAGTTTCTTTCGGGCAAGAGATGTTTATGTGCCTGGCTATATGTAATTGAACACTGTATGGATCACAATGGATGCCCATTTATAGTCTGAGCTGAATGCTAATGAAGAGATTTGAAGATTTTACAGAGAGGAAATTTACAAGAAAAAATAAATCAGCAGGAGGGAGTCCAGTTTACATGTGAAGACAACAGATTTCTGGACTATAACTGTAGAGACTGGGACTCACTCTGCATCCTTCACCTAGAAAGCAAACACATCAGCTTACTTCATGTAACAAAAAACAGATCACAGCCAGGGTTGGCTGACGAGCGCTGGAAAGACTCTGGGAGCTAAGCTTTATTAGTCAAAGGGGTATCCAGTGAAATAAGTCTAGATTCTAGAATGCATTTATGACTTTACTTTATATGTAACCCTTCTTCCTGTTTTTACCATGCACATATCTAAGTGCTATGTATACTGTTTCTTTGGGAATATAAGATCTGGGAATTCTGAGAGTGTCCCACAGATCAGGGGCTAGGTGGTGCAGTGGGAGACTTGGGGGTTAGCGTGTACCTACCCTTAACCTGTTAAGAAACAGTTGGACCGGCAAAGGCCTGGAGGGCAGTGCTCGTGTTGCCTAAGGCTCGTGGAGCTGGGGAACTGACCAACAGCAGGAACATACAAGGCTTCCTCAGCTAAGGGAATTGATAGTGAGGTGCCTCACAACCAGGGGTACCACCAGGATGCTTCACAAGGTATATCAACTGCAATGTAAGCTTTGCAAACACTTTAATTTAACAAAAAATAATGAGTGAGACGGGGTGTACACTACCAACTTGCATCAGCGCAGCTACATCGCTGTAGCTCGTCTGGTCTCCCACTGGCTTAACTCCACCTCTGCAAGAGGCAGTAGCTATGTCAGTGGGAGAAGCTCTCCAGCCAACGACATAACCCCCTCCCCGTGTAGAGAGCACTAAGATCGATATAACTATGTCACTCAGAGTTGTGGATTTTTCACACCCCTGAGCGACAGTGTTATATTGAACTAAGTGTGTAGCGTAGACCTGGCCTGAGAAACACAAGGCAATGTTAAGCTGAACATGCATCTTGAGTGGTCTGATTATTCCAGACCTCTGTCTACATCCAAGTAGGTGAAAAAAGGCTATCTGATGTTGCATATCTGGTTAGTTACTACGTCATTTTGCTGCAGTTTGTAGTAGTTTAATACTTCAATATAAATTGACTTTTCCTTTCCTTCCAAGATGCAGTGCCTTAACATTACCATAGTGGATCACATAATCCTTTGAAAGTCATAAGTTAAGTTGTTTCCTAGTCCACTATTTAATTAATACATGCTGAAGTCCTGAAGGCAAGTCTTTCACTACAGAATAATTGTCAAGGCAGATCAAACTTCATGCTTAAACAATAAGCCATTTTAATAACTGAAAATTAAATGTTGCTCACCAATTTCTTTGATTTCCAATGGCAAGGGACAGAGAAGTAGCAAATACAGAAATAACTACTGTCTCACGAAAAATTTTACTAATAAAACACCTTTCAGGCCAGTTTGTCTTGACTGAATACTGTTTTCTTAACGTTCCCCATAATTTCCAGAAGCAAGTGATCAGCTTTATACAGGTTAGGATAAAGATCAATATTCCCAAACTCAATTTAGGTTTTTATACAGAAAGTTCAAGCAAGAGAAAAGATTGAACTATTTACCTCATATTTTACTTTTTCACCCGCCTTGGCCTTTTTCAAGAGTTCTAGAGCTTCTTGGTGTCCTTTTTTAGATTTTTTCTCACGGCGAGAACGTGATAGTGCAAAACTTCCAGAGTCTGATGTAGCTGAAATCAATATTAAAAACCATCAGAAGTACAATTCAACTATGCATTGTTCTTGTTTTCAGACATTTAATCCACAGTAACTGTTTAATATTAGTTTTAGAGAAACAATGGTTCCACTGTTGATTACTCCTTAAAAACATGGGCGGAGCGTCCAATAGGCAGGGGAAGACTGAGCCTGCCCACACAGCCCTGCATGGCCCCCTCCCCTCTTGCTGCTAGTTGACCCCAGCCCAAGTAGGCTGCTCCTCTTCCAGGAAGGGAAGCTGGCTGGGGCTAGGGTGGCTGGGACTTGGGGTAGCTGGGGCTGCCCAGTACTGGGGGGGGGAGGGGGGAAGAGGAGGCCACATGCCACCTGCCACTCCGAAGGGCCCTGGGTGGAGGGCCGCCGCTTCCTGCAGCTCCCATTGGCCGGGAACGGCGAACTGTGGCCACTGGGAGCTGCGGGCGGCCACGCCTGTGCATGGTCAATGTAAACAAACTGTCTCACGGCCCGCCAGCATATTACCCTGATGGGCCGCAGGTTGCCCACTGCTGATCTAAGGTGTGCCACTCCTTCTCAGTAAGATGTTGTGGCCTTGGACAGAATAATAGGAGAACCTCCTGCTGGGAAGCATGGAAGGAAGAGTTCACCTTCAGACTAAACAATTCCAGAGTCCTAAGCACCACCTTGTCCTTGTGGAACAAACAGTAAGGTTCCTGCACAGAAAAGACTGCCAGCTCCAACACTCCCCTGGCAGACATAACGGGTATCAGAAAGCCAGTTCTGATGGACAAATAGAATGCTGACACTGATGTCAGCGATTCAACGGGATGGCTTGTCAGGGCTCTCAATACAACCAGTTGAGCGGCCTGAGTGCCAACTCGGTTAATCAGACTGCTCCAAGGAATCTGGCTACTGAGGGTGCTCTGCCAGAGAACTCAGGGATCCCGTAACCATCATGCTACTGAGGGCAGATACCCGTCAAGCTATGGTGCTGGGTTGGAGAGCTTTGTCAAAGCATTTTCAGAGAATGTCCCAAATAGCTGGTATTTCTAAGATTTGCTTTGTGATCCTAGCACCAGAACTTGGCCCAGATGGAAGAATGCATTTTCAATGTCGATACTCTTCTAGATGAAAGCAGTGTCTTGATGACTTTGAAGGACAAACCCAGCGATACCAGCACTTCCCTTTCAATAGCCAGGCTGTTAAATGCAGCCAACTGACGTCCAGATGATGAAGACGACCTTGTGAGAAGATGTACCATCTCTTTGGGAGTTGTAGTGGAGGTCCTATTTTCAGTCTGAAAACCAAAGTCTCCTCAGTCAATGGGGAGTTATTAATATGACTGCTATCCGTTCTCATTTTATTTTCTCAACCACCTTCCCTAGTAATGGGAAGGGTGGAAACACACAGAGGAGACCCTGCAGCCATCTGTGCAACAGCAATCTGTCCCCCAGATCTGGGATCCACCTCCCTGGTGAAGTACTTTGGTCTCTTTGCATTCATATGGTTAATGAATATATCAGTTGAGGGAACACTGAACATTTGGACAATTAATGCAAAGACTCCCTAATTCAGGCACCACTCAGAGTTGTTGAGCCAATCCATTTTTGGTTCGGGTCTCCCTTTACATGAATTGCTCTGAGGAACAGGAGACAGTTCTCTACCCATCACATAATTTCCATTGCTTCTGTGTGCAATACTGGGGTCCTTGCTCCCCCTTGGTTGTCCACACGTGATGGCAGTCGTGTTGTCCGACTGAATCAGGAGAGGGTCCCCTCTAGGCTGGACTGGAACCTTCACTGCACCAGCTTGATTGCTTTTAGCTCTAGAAGGTTTATGATGTGGGCCTAGAGCTGTTTGGGCCCCCAAGTGTGCACCCCAGCTCTCCAGGCTGGCGTTGGTTATGAGAATCTGAGGATCTGGGCAGCACAGGGGCATACCTTTGCGAACATTGCCCTGGGCTGACCATCATTTTAAGGAGTTGAACACCTGTGTTGAGACCCCTACGTGATCCTTCATGTGTTCCAAGGTGGTCCTGTACCTTTATGATGAAGCCCTGAAGGCACCTGATGCATGATTGCACCCAGGGAGTGATCCCTATGCACAATACGAGAAGGCCTAGTAGTTGAAGGCCCAATGCTATAGCAGGCCTCTTGCAGCTCCCAAACAATGTGAAGAGGTCCTGAATCTTCTTGAACCTTTCTAGTGACGGATAGATCCTTGCTATCAAGGTATCTATGTCCACTCCTAAGTGTGTGTTGTTTTTTTTGACATTGATAAAGCCAGGTTCTTATAGGATACTCAGTGTCAGCGATGTGGCTCTGTGTGCTGTTTCCGGGGACGGTGTTCTGAACAAGTGTCATCCAGGAAGGGGCACAGGTGGATAGCCTGACTGAGGTTGCAGGGTATCATTACTGCCAACATCTTTGTAAACACCCTAAGAGCAGAGGACAAGCCGAATGAGAGCATCCAGTACTGATGTTACTTCCTGCCATAAGCAAACCTTAGGAACCTGTGATGGCAAGGTCTGACAGGATTGTGGAGGTATGCGTACGAGGCAGAGTGGCCTCCCTCCGGACTGGAGAGCGAGGGACCACTACACTCCCTGGTGGGCAGAGCCGAACTCACCCCACTGGCCTCGCCAGAAGCGCCAGGATAGGACAGGAAGTATAAAGGGAGGGCTCTGCAGCTCAGGTGAGCAGCAGCAGGGAAAGGAGACGGACACCTCTATTCTGCTGTGGCACCCGGCAGATCAACCTACACTCTGCAGCCCCCTGCCCCCAGAGGAGACAGACCCAGAAGGAGAGTTGCCAGGACTGCCATCCACCGTGTACCCAGAGGAGCCAGAGGACTGTGGATTCCAGAAATACCACACCCCGGGGAGGTAGAAAGTAGTCCAGGGGCAGCCAACAACTGTCTGGCTACGTTGCTGACTGTTCCTAGGTCAGTGTGTTGCGGCTGGATCCCCGTTGACCAGTGGCGGACCACTCCAACACTGCTAGCGCCCTGGGCTGGGATGTGGTGGAGTCGGGCGGGCCTGCATCCCCCAGCCCCTGCCATGCCACCCCTGAGGTGGCAGACTCCCCACCATGGAGGCCTATGTACATCTACTGTCCGTCAAGCTAGGACACTAGACTCGGTTGGTGCCCCCCCTCAGCCCTTAGATTGTGTGGGTGCTCATCCCTACCTGAGCGTTTGCTAGCTGCATTAGCCAGGAGGCTTAGCGTATAGCCTGTGCTCCCTCTAAGGTGCGCGCCTGTGCAGCTGCACAAGAGCCATCAAGGGTCGCGAACCAGCCGTGCACACAGGTGAGCATGGAGAATGTGTAGAGAGGGTGGGTGAGGGGCGGTGATGGGGGTTTGAGGGAGCTTGGGGCATGCAGGAAAAGCGCCGCTCTCCCTCAGCCCCAGCCCTGACCAGGCTGCAGCATGGACAGGTGCTTCTTTCCCTCGGCCCCAGCCCTGACCGGGCTGCGGCATGGACAGGTGCTTCTCTCCCTCGGCCCCAGCCCCCTTTTTTAAAAGGGAGATCTTGTGTTACAGCAATTAAATGTTTCTGTTCTTTGTTCTGTGATGCCTCTGTTTACACGTGATTTATGGGGATAAGCAGTATTTTATCTGCCAGAAATATATACCTTATTGAGTCTGATCCACATCCTAAACCAAGATTTATACAAGACCATGAAATGCCACACCTTTAGCCAAAGAAAAATACCTTCAAGACACCACAGAATTTTCATTTCATTTGGGTGACGAATCTCAGTTTAGGTTCAGCTGTGCACTGCCAGCCACCAGATTAAATTCTGAACAAAAGGAACTGCAATCTGAAATATGGGTTGCACATTATAGGATTTCATTGTTTTCTGCCCTTCAGAAAAGCCTGTTATGTGTATAAGACTTCAGTCTATGCGTTTGCAATAGTGATAAGGAAGTCATTCTAATATGATACACTTGAACAGCCAAATCCTCAGCTAGTGTAAATTGAAGTAGTTCCAGTGACTTCATGGCTGCTGTACACCAGCTGAGGATCTGGCCCTAAAATGTCAGATTCCAGGAAATCTTTACAGTCTCTTTTACATGTACCATTGGCCATACCTATGGCAACTTTTTTAAAAAATTATATATATGTTTTTTGTTTCTACTGGTGGCACACATCTACACATTACCTCGATATTGGTGCTGCACATAACAAAATGCATTCCGCGCATGAATGAAAAAATTAGAGGGAACATTGGCTACAACCTGCTTCCTGCTTGGCCCCGCCCAAAGAGCTAGAGCCCCAGACTGTGAGTGTTCACTGGCTGCCTTAGCCAGGAGCCTGAAGCTACAGCCTGCCCCGGCTCTAGCCCTTTGGGTGGGGCAAAGCTTTAGATTATTAAGTACTGCCCGGCCCAGCTGCGGGGCTACGCGCTAAAAACTACTCAGTGCTCTGCCCCAACCAAGGGTGGGGACAAGTGCCCCAGACTGTTATTGCTTGTTTGCCTCTATTAGACGGCCACGGAACTATAGGCGGCTTACAGCTCGGCCCCGCCAGCGCGACCCAAGCCCAAGGGTTACCGTCCAATAAGATGAGGCAGAGTGGCCTCCCTCCCCACTGGAGAGCGAGGAACCACTACAGTATCCATCTGCCAGATCCACTGAAGTCAGAAAATCCTCCTTCGACAGGCATGACACCAGAGAGGTCAGGGTCTCCATCTGAAACTTTGTTTTGTCATCCACTTGTTGAATCATTTGAGGTCTAGAATGGCTCAAATTCCTCCCGTATGCTTTTGAATAAAGAACAACATGGGGTACTCCTTCTCTTTGGAGTCTCTCCCTGCTCTGCTCACAAACTCCTGGTCTATTTTTCTCCCAGTGGAGTTGCAGCTGCTCTGGACTCTGGAGCTGCTCTGGACCTCTCCTGCCCGACTCATGGCCCTGGGACCTAACAGAGTTAGGGACCGAAGGCTGAGCACAACTCACCATCTGCCAAGGCCAGGAAGGCTGTCTCATAGACGGAGCACTGTTTAGATTTTGTTCAGAGCTTCTTAGGCTGCTCAGCCATACCAAAAAGGTGCAGAGAAGCCAGCAGTGAGGTTCCAGGTGGGTTCAGTCATCTGACTAAAAACCAACCCGGAGAGGAGGAAAGGGCTAGTGTGGGAGACCACTGCTCACCACTGCCCCCCCCTTCAAAAACACCACACTGAAGGTAGAAGATAGGAGGGTGCAACAGAACTGCCATCCACATGCTGCTGCGGAGGCAGAGAATCTGGCCGCAAGTGGGCGCAGAAGAGGCACGAACTAAGCAGTGGTGCCAAAATGATGATTCGGTGCCGTGAAGCTGCTGAGTGAGGAAAGTAGCCCAGACATCAAGGATTGTTGGAGCTGCTGAGCTGCAGAATAGATTGTGGTAATAATGCACCTACAGTAGACTCAGGAAAGGAAGGGTGACAATTGTTAAGCTGCCTCCCAACTTCCTTTAGAGGTGCATCAATTGTCACTATCCATGATTTGGAAAGGAAGGTTATTTTAGACGTCTAACTTTCTTCTTTATGCTTTTATTTAGTCTCTCAGTGACAAGCAGTCCTAGAATGCATCAGGTGAGGTATTTTCAGTAGAGACAGGGAAGTGTTAATACCATTATACAAGACACTGGTGAGACCTCACCTTAAATACTCTGTGCAATTCTAGTCTTCCATGTTTAAGAAAGATGAATTCAAACTGGAACAGGTGCAGAGACAGGCTACTACTAGGATGATCAGAGGAATGGAAAACTTACCTTATGACTTTCCTCCATAAGGAAAAACTACCTTATGGAGAGGAGACTCCAAGAGTTTGGCTTGTTTAGCCAGACAAAAGAAGACTGAGAGGAGATACGATTACGCTCTATAAATAAATCCGAGGGATAAGTACCAGGGAGGGAGAGGAGTTATTTAAGTTAAGCACCAATGTGGACACGAGAACAAATGGATATAAACTAGACATCAAGTTTAGACTTGAAATTAGACAAATATTTCTAACCAGCAGAGGAGTGAAGCTCTGGAACAGCCTTCCAAGGGGAGCAGTGGGGGCAAAAAACCTAACCAGCTTCAAAACCGAGCTTGATAAATTTATGGAGGAGATGATATAATGATACTGCCTACAATTGCATGTAGCCGATCTGTGACTGCTAGTAGCAAATATCTCCAATGGCTGGTGATCGGACACTAGATAGGTGTCCCACCAACACAGCTTCCGCCTCTAGCGGAGGTGGACTGATTATGCTGACGGGAGAGTGCTCTCCTGTCAGCATAGAGCATCTTCATCAGACACGCTACAGCGACGCAGCTGCACCAGTGCAGTGCTTCTAATGTAGACCTGCCCCCATATTAATGTCAGATTAACAGATTTATTCTTTTAGCCAACATGACTGATTAAAATGTAAAGACCTGTTCTAAACCAAAATAGTTAGATAATAAAGTAGCACATTGTAAGTTACTGTTTGCAAAGCTCTATCATTGAGGTCCAGATCCCACAAAAATCAACAGAGGTCGACCCCCACTAACTGTAATGGGGCTCATGCAGACGCAGAGGTACACTTTCACAAAGTTCTTTACAAGATCTTGCCCTGCTTATATCGAGGGCCCTACCAAATTCACAGCATCTCTCACAGTTCTACCCAACCTGAATGGCTATGAGTCAAAATGTCAGATGCTGAGTAGGATCTTTACTATGTGACCCCCACCCCCTTTTTTGGTCCAGTGAATATAGCTGGACAGTTGCCTCTGAAGTATTTGTTATTATATTGATAAAAGTTTTTACAGCTTTGGAATAATTTGTCTGCCCATGAGCAGGAGCAGAGGGGGCATGGCCAGAGCAGCAGCATCAAAATGCTGCTCTGCCTCTGTGAAGCTGCAGAATGAGGAGAGCAGCACAGACATCAAAAATTGTGGGGGGGCAGGGTCTATATGAGGGTGTTGTACTTGGGCTCCCTTTGAGCAGGTCTTGGATTTCGTTGGCAGGGGTGGGGAAGTGCTGCAGGACTGGATGGGGGGGGAGGGAATGCATCCTCCACAGCTGCTGGCTAGGAGCAGAGTTCTGAAGGCAGTGCAGAAGTGAGGGTGGCTGTCAGCCCCCAAACCCAGATGGGAAGCTGCTGGGAAAACCAGAATGTATGGTAATCCACCCCCCAATATTCTGCGACCCTCACTTCTGCGCTGCTGCTGGCGGTAGTGCTGGCTTCAAAGCTTGGCCATTGCTCTCCAGCTCTGAAGGCAGCTCCCGACAGCAGCAGCACAGAAGTAAGGGTGGCAAACACACAACCCCCCTACAATAGCCTTGCGACCCCCCCCCCACCCCAACACTTTTTTGGGTTGGGATCCTCATGGTTACAACACCCTGAAATTTCAGCTATAAACATCTGAAACCATGAAATTTACTATTTTTAAAACCCTATGACCACGAAACTGACCAAAATGGACAGTCAATTGGTAGGGCCCTACTTATAACCATTCAGACGGCCGCTGCAAAGATTATTTTCCTAGCCTGCTTTGCCCATGTCACCACTCTTGTTGCACCCCATCCACTGGCTCCTCTTTCTCCATTGCAGTGGTCCCCAATCTTTCCATGTGGCAGGCGCCGGACGACTAGCCGCCGAGGAGCGTGGCCACCGGACAAGCAGCTGCTGAAGTGCGGCCGAGAATCAGCAATGCCAAGAAGCGTCGCCGCCAAAAAGCAGCCGAAAATCAGTGGCATTTCGGCGGCACCGTTTCTTGACGGTGCCGCTTCTCGGCGGCATTTCAGCAGCTGCTTTTCTGGCGATCAGTAGGCAGGTGCACATAGATGCCCCGGCGGGCGCCATGGCGCCCGCAGGCACCGCGTTGGGGACCACTGCTCTATTGCACCGAACATAAGTTATTTGTCCCAACCCTACCTATCATCTTTCCTTCACTAACAAGATGTCGACTCCCGCCTCCAATCTACCCATGATGCCAGCCTCCATTGCCCACTTGTTAAATTTTCGATCAAGTGCCATCATGCTTCCTTCTATGCTGCTCCTCATGCTTAGGAGAAGCTACCCATAAACATTTGCAAAACTAACATATTATCCTTCTTAAAACTCTCCTTTGCTGTGATACCTACCAAAATAAAAACTTGTTAATGGTTAGGTTGCTACTATGCTGAGCCCATTGCCTATCATGCTAACCAATATTGTCACGGTCTCTTGGTACCCCCAGTTTGTCTGTATCCACATGTTATCCCTTATCGGATACTAGACTGTAAACTCTTTAGAGGCAGGGACCATCTTTTTGTTCCATGTTTGTACTGCACCTGGAACAATCGGGTCCTGGTCTATGATTAGGGATCTTAAGTGCTATAATATAAATAATAGCGGTTTCTAGTTATTGTTAAGCCACAACAGCAGTTTAAAAAAAATTATGTCAAATACACAGAATTAAACTTTGTTTGCATGCACTGAGGTATTTTCACTCTAAGCAAACTGAATACAATTTCTCTGTACCCCAATTTTGATTTTACTAGATTTATAGGGTGAAGAAATTCAGGGCTCAAAACAGTAATGTTATGGCTCAAAACAGTGATGATATGAGGAAAGTCAGAACCTATCAAGTATAGAAAACTGTCCTAAAAACAATGACATCTTGTGGGATGGGAGGGAGAAGGAGAGTACACTTCTGATAGGCATAATTGTCATCTACACTATGTTTTCATGAAACAGCGAGGGGGTTTTAAATTAAAAAGGGTTACAGTTCTCGCTTCCCTGTGTTTACTCGATGCACTTGACAGCATTTCAGGTACAGACATTTAGCTCTATGTATGAGCTAAAACCAAGCCAGAAAAAAAAAAAAACAAAAAAAAAAAAAAAAAAAAAAAAACAAGTGATGCAAAACCACAAATTCAGCAGGATGACACAGGGACCAGTGTCAGCACCAGCTTCTTTTAACACGCCGGTGTGCTCATTTTTTTAAGACAGACTCGATTTCAACACACTCTCCCTGTCACCTTCCAAGGAGAATCTTGGGGACACCAATGAAGTGTCCCCCCCCCCAAAAGGGGCCACTCCCAATTGCCCCGCCCAGATCCTGCAGCACTACCACCCCCGCCCAGGAAATCGGAGACACGCTCAAGGGGAGCCCAAATACAACACCCCCGCCGCCCCCCATGCAGAGCCTGCCCCCCACCGCTGCATCCGTGTCCAGCCGCTACCCGCCCCCGGGCTGCGCGAGCCCCCCACGCCCCGTGCAGCGGCCGCACAGCCCCGCCCGCCTCTCACCGCCGCGCCGGCTCTCGCTCTCCGCCATGGCCCCGACCACGCTCGCTCCGCTCGCGCCAACGCGCCCGAAAGTGGCGCGAGAGAGGCGACCCAGGCGCCCCGGCCGGACGGCCAGCCAATCAAAAGCCGCGGCGAGTCCCGTCTTTCTGCAGCCCGCCCCTTCGCCCCGTTCCACCCTCTTGTGCAGGTCGAGGGGAGGAGTCGGAGCTGCGCGCGGGCGCACTGGGTGTTGCGAGTAATCTCTGTGTTTGCGACTCCGGCTCTGGAGGAGAGAAGCGCGGGCGGGCGGGTGCCTGATGGGGCGAGGTGGGTGGCTGCTGCCCCCTGACTGCAAGCTACGACGCTTCCCGACAGCGGAGAGAGGGTGGCTATTTATGGACAGGCGCTCTTGGGGGGCGGTCGGTCGCCACTGAGTTCCAGGGGAGTAGGGTGAGGCCTTTTGTGTCCGGGGAAGGGAATGAAAGGACACGGCTATGGGGCTTTTTCCTCGTCCTGGCTCCGGGGAAATAATTTGCAATTTATAAACTCATGCTGGAGGCTGCAGAAAAGAGCCATTTCGGCCCACGCTAGGGGTGGCTAGACACCAGCATTGCTATCGCTGCAGCCTGCACCTAGCCCAGTGCGGGGCATGTGCCCTGCTGGCCCCTGGGTAGGGCTCCTAGGTGCTAAAATAATAAACGCGTGTACATAGTAAAACTAACACTTCACAGCTTGCTTGCTCGGTGTATGGATAGAAAATGAAGGCTTCAGCCACGGCATTTGTCCATAGGAACAGACCTGACAGAAGAGGTTGAGCCATTTGAAAGCAGGCCCTGGTGGTGTAAGCCAATTAAAATCAGTGGAGTTACACCAAGGATGAATTTAACCCACTATGTTAACTTCCCCTCCTAGGTTTCTGAGAGCAGACATCTGATCTTTGTCCATTGCAAGAGAAAAATCAGCAATCAATGAGGCTAGAACAGTCTTTGTACCTTATACAACTCATAAGTCCATCTGCAAAGAATCAAGGAAATATGAATGCTCCAGATTACCTTAAAGTCCTCTGTCCCTTGGTTAGAATGCTTGCATCAGTATATGTTCATAGTCCGGAGGTTGGAGCAGGAATCAAAAACACTGTCTAAACACCTTCCATCCCCCCCACCCCTTCCCTCTTGAGGACGCCTGAGTAACAGCACAATACACATGCTAACAAACTTAAACAAAGGCTTTGTTTAAGTTTGTTAGCATGTGTATTGTGCTGTTAAACCCATATAAAGAATGTATGCCTTCCCAAGCCGCAGTGCTGCTCCACCCCCACTCCAGAGGGCAGGGGGGCCTAGCCTCCCCAAGTCTTTCCGGTACCCCATACCCGCTAAAAATCTCTTGCCGGTACTGCGTACTGGAGCGTAAACCCAACTTGCACTTCTGCCTTGAAATCAAAAGAAGCTGCAGGATTCCTAATCAGCAGAAACTGTGGCTTGTATAACTTCATCATTTCAATGGCTAAACCGAACACTGTGGGAGTAGAGGTAAGGAGGACTACCTGGAGCTAAGTCACAAAGCAGAGCAGAGTACTGGCCTTTTGCATCAATCTTGCCAGCAGTGGAAGATGCTGACTCTTGGCAGAGGGCTCATTCAGGGAAAGACATTTCCTCCTGCTGCTTAGCACCAGATTTCTAAATTGACCAAGCAGCTGGGGGACAAGGCAAAGAGCCTTGTCTCCTTTCTCCCTGTCCACAACTGGGGGAGCATACCTCAACTTTGCTTGTTACACTCCTATTGCTATGCAGATGTCTTCAGTCACATGCATCAGAGCAGTGCCCCAGCTTCAATCCAGGAGCAAAGCTGGGGTCTGGAAAATCATATATTTAACCTGAAATTACACAAAAATAAAAATTATTTGAAATGTTTTTTAAAAGCCTCAGTTGAGATTTTACTAAACTTTTACTATGTTTCAATTGGTGGGATTTCCCTGTAACAAAGTGATATTTAGGGCCCTAGTGAAGCTTTGTGGTCAGCATTTTCTACTGGGATGTGACCTTTGACTTTTCTTCAGAATGGCAGTTTACCAACAGTGCTGACCAATCACAATCCATATTACTCAATCCCTCGTTTGTATACAGATTGCGTTCATTTGAGATGTACATGCTGCTCACAAAGGGAGAAATGCGGTAACTCCAGAAATGGTGTGAGAATTCCTAAATGCACAGACTGCTTATAGCCCTTCGTCTTTTCAGCATCTGAGTGAGTAGGATGTGCACCATCATCTACTTGTTTCCCTGCTGGTGCTAGATCCTTACAGAAATGGTAAGAAGGACAATATGGTTTATCCTCCAAAATCTAAAAGAGCTACTCTTTATGTTCTAAAACAGACTGATGACAACTATTTTACTTGTCTACAAGTGGATTGGACATTCCTTTATGTAGATTAGTGAACCTGTGCTGTGAGGAAAGAAGGAATGCTAGTTTTTAATCCTAGTTTCTTACCTGTTTACGAGCATTTTACCTACCATTATCAGAACGTCGTTGGCTCTCCTTGTCATATGGATTCTTAGAGCATGAAGGAACATTGAAGACAGTAAAACAAATTCTTGAGCTACCTATAAATAACCCTGTTCCACTTGGATTTGTGCATATTTTCCCCAGTGTATCCATTGCCTCTTTAATGTGTGTACAGCACAAGATCATATCATTGAGGAAAAGTGGACAACAAGCAAAGTAGACATTAAAAGAAATTAGTCCAGTATTGCCAATCCCAAAGGTTCAAAATTCATGAGTCAAATCCCAAAAAAATCATGTTGGGGGTCTCTGTGTGTGCGCGCACACGTGTGTGAGAGAGAAGATTAAATTGTGTTTTTTTGGTCTTTTCGATTTTTGAACTGCCTCTGTCTGGCCTCAGTGTGTGTATGACAATTATTGATGCCAACTCTCTGAAATTTATTGAGTAAGGGGATTGTAGCTCTTACTGCAGGAGCTCTCACTCCTACATCTGCCAACTAGAGTTGCCAGTTTTGGTGGGACATATTCCTGGAGATTTCATCACATGACAATCTTTAATTCCTGCAGACTCCAGGCCAATCCTGGAGGGTTGGCAACCCTACTGCCAACCCCCAAACCAGTTCTGTTCCCATCCAGTCCCCATGTTAAATCTGCCCCCACATTAGCATGACAAGGTGGGTGAGGTAATATCTTTTATTAGACCAACTTCTTCTGGTAAGAGAGAAAAGCTTTTGAGCTTCAGGAAGAAGAGCTCTGTGTAAGATCAAAAGCTTTTCTCTCTTACCAGAAGAAGTTGGTGCAATAAAAGATATTACCTCACCCACCTTGTCTCTTTAATATCCTGGGGCCAACATGGCTACAGCAACACTGCATACCACATTAGCATGTCACACCAGTTCTGCCCATATCTCAGCTATCCCTTCACATCAGTTCTGTACCTCCAGGCCCCTCATCAGTTCAACCCCGACATCAGTTTTACCCATCTCTCAGCCTCCTCCCATAAATTCTGCCCTCAGATCAATTCAGCATAAAATATGTAAACCATTTCAACAGTTTGTGTTCATTCAGTGTCTTTGTAAAATACTTTGGAATTTTGAACTGGTCACATTTTTTTTTTAATTTAAGCAAAGTAAATCCATTCTGTCTCTTTGTCATCTGTTGTACAACCAGAAGAACATCTGTCATTCAGGCAGTACCAGCATTTGAGCCAGTACACAATGACACAGTTAATTTATCAAACAAATTGTTGCCAAAGCTCCACTGTGGGACAGTGCAGATTAAACAATGTCCTTTTCACTAATGCCTGGCCAGTTCTGACATTCAGCTCTGACACAACAGCAATGAGTTTGTTTCCCAGAGCATAACAAGTGCTGCAGAAAAAGGGACTGTGGGCTGCAGAAAAGAAAAACAGCTAGTCAGATTTGGGTCTTCATATGCTAAATGGCCTTATCACAGCAGATTAGTTGAAGCTGATCTTTAACCTCTCTTGAACAATTTGGCATGATCTTTGTTTTAAATACAAGAAGTGGGAATTTCAATTTTTGTGCTCAAAGTAACTCAAGGTTCGGTCAAGGAAAGTGTGAAAGCTGCAAAGAGAAGTGTGAGAGAAGCAAGTTAAGGAAGATGGTAGGCTGCCAAAAACGCAGGACAGAGGAGGAAACTCAGGATACCTATGCATCCAAATTTCAACGAAAGGTGATTTAGATTTTTTTCATGTTTTTTCTGCAAACTATAACAAACATACAGATTATGAATAGAACAAATTAGGAATTATCATTGCAGCCTTAAGAAAAGCAAATACAATAATTAATAAGAGATTTTTTTCATCAGCTCATCTTTATGTCTAGTTGTTGTAGTATGTACTTGATCTTAATAAAGTACAGTATTATTGTAAGATAAATAGTTAAAATAATACTTCCTGGTTGAGGCATTGTACACCAAGTTTATACTTGTAAATGTTAGAATCTCTTGAAAATGCAGGAGTAAAATATTAATAGAATGCAGGCAGGTCATAAATTATAGCAGTGTTAGCAAATTTCACTGCCATACTTTGTTTAGAAATGTCTAACCATTATTTTATCACTTTTATATACCATATATCTTTCAGTGCATATGTATATATGCACATGTACACACATTCGGAGTGCATATAGTTCAGTAATTCTTTTATTTCTTCTATGTATTGGTCTGAATTCAGTCTTGCTGTAACTCTATTATCATCAGGGTTTATAACGGGGATGAATTTGGCTCTTTGTAACTATTCCAAGAATGACTTATCAAACTGTGCTATTTATACCACATTGCAACGCGACTTATTTAAACTAATGTAACCCTTAAAAATGAAACACTTCAAGGAATTTTTAGAAGAATATACCTTTAAAATGAGAATAGATGAAACAACAGGTTTCAGATAAGGATCCTGATGAGAAAGGTTTCCCCCCGCATATGTGCCACCTACTTAGGTGTTATGTTTGTTTCCAAAATATGTTATTCTTCAAGTATAGTTAACTGATTGAATCACCAAAAAGAAGCATGTATTTTTTCATTTATGTTTGTGTAATATTCTGGTTAAACATCTATATTTAAACTGCAGCAATCTGA